AGCGTTTTTGTACTGCTCTTGGGCTTGTACCCATTCTGCCTCACCTGCTGGTTGCTTGACTTGCTCTTGTTGTACACTGATATATATGTTTATTCCTACTTGTTTACTCTAGCTAGGTTGTGATCAATGTACTAACTTGCTATTATAACTCTGCATGTGAACTGGCCTTGTGACCGCTCGCTTGTGCTCAAATTGTGTAGTGTCCTTGAGATTCACACTGAGCTTTGCTTTGCTTGTTCTCTTGCTTGACTGGTCTGGTGACTGTCTGTTGTGTTTGCTATCTCCCACTTAGCCTATGGGGGTGTGTCAAACTATATGTTTGTGTTCTCTATAGGCTGTATTGGGTTAGCCTATAAAGGGTATAACACTTTAGGGTTAGTACTTGTACCCAATTCATTCATAGTTCATTCATTCCTGCACAGTTGATTCTGACACCACCCACCTGCCCTCTACCTTGCCTTGCACTTCACCATAGAAGAGCCACTTACGAGGAGAAGCTGCCATCAGGTCAGCAATGGGACATGGAAGGAAGAAAAATAAGAGGAGCCACTTAGTAGCTGCAGAAGTAAAGATGATCAGACGGCAAAGACTGGTTGTGTATTGTATTGGATTCATGTCGGATCGCTATAAAAAGACGAGCACTAAGTGAGAAATGTGCGATAACAAGGTCAGCAGCCCCACCTTGCAGAATCTCCCCCATCACACCTATCATATAGATTACGCAGCAGTGCTGTTGCTGCCACTGCTTTCCCCACGGATGCTGCCAGAAATAGCAATGCGGCATGGAGAGGGGAGAATAACAACAGGATACAAGGACGTGAATGGAGGGAGAGGCGGGGAGGCACGTGCACCATTAAGTTAGGATACAGAAAGATGGGAGGGAGGGCTGTGGAGAAGAATGACGGGAAACAGGTAAGGTACTGGAGTCTACACAAGAACACAACCGATGTTAAACAACAGACCTATAGGCGGAACTTGGAAGCATAGGGTAGACTGTAATTACCCCTCCATTGCTGCAGCTGCGACCACTGCAGTGGCCGTTGATGCTGCAACCACTGCTGCCACCACCACTGCTGCTGCTGCTGCAGCTGCTGCTGGAACCTCTGCTGTCCATGCTGCGGGTGCAGGACAATAGGTGCTGCTGTACGGGTGATGGAAGAGAGGAACGCAAAGAGGAGAGGGCAGGAGAGGCGGGGTTTGGGAGCTGAGCAAAGGGGCATGAACATCTGGCAACAGAGCAGCAGAGACGTATGGGTACCGTAGAAATATGGCACAACAAAAAGAAGGGAGGTGACGGGAGAAGGGATGGCAGGGGAGAGGACGAGAGACGTGAGGATGTGAAAGAGCAGATGCTAGCTGGAGAAAGGACTAGGACAAAAAGCAACGCACGGTGCATTCGCCCTGCCACTGCATCTTCACTCCAAGTTACCTCTTGTCTTGGAAGAGAAGAAAATCGTGTTGTCCCCACCGAAGGGCAGGCAGGTTCACAAAGAGCAGTACGTCACACTCCAGAGCTTGAAGGCTGAGAGGCACACTCACGGGCTAACACGCACACATGCATGCACACCTGCACACGCACACATGCACGCCCCCACCCACCGCCCTTCCCCCCACAAACACATGCACAGTCCCCGTCCACTCGCTGCCATTCCCGTCCGTCTTGCAGGACGTGAGGCACACACACGCATGGGGAGAGAGAGACAGCCACACAGACACGGCACAACAAGGGTGGGTTAGACGCAGCAGGAGGCGAGTGGCGGAAGCAAAGGCAACAGACACGACCCTTGCCTCTGCGCGGCGACACCCTACGACTGACTTCACGGCCCCCCTACAAGCACCCCCTGGCACATACCACGATCCGCCCGCTGCTCTCCCAGTTTTGCGTCACGCCTTCACTTGAGGCGTCCCTGTGCTGCCATTGCTCTCCGTCTTGCAGACCACGAGGCACACACACACATACAGGGAGAGAGAGAGACACACACACGGGGAGAGAGAGACACACACACATGGGGAGAGAGACACACACACAGAAGTAGCGAAATAAAGGAGGGTTAGAAGCAGCAGGTGGCGAGTGGGGGACCCGCAAGCAACAGACACGACTCTTGCCTCTGCACGGCCACGCCTACGACTCACTTCACAGCACCCCTGCAAGCACCCCCTGGCACGTACCATGCTCCCTTCGCTGCTCTCCCACTCCTGCGCAACGCCCTCACTTCAGGTGTGGTGCTCCAGGTGGTGTGCTCCAGGCGGTGTGCTCCAGGCGGTGTGCTCCAGGCGGTGTATTGGTTGGTCTGATGGAATCTCAACTCCTTGCGTGTTGGCCTGCCCAACATCGTGGCCAGGGAGGGTGGAGCGAGACCAAGTGATCATGAGATTTGCATACAGTAGAACGATAGGAGTGGAGAGGTTTGGGAGCTGAGAGGAGTGCCATGAAAATCTGGCAAGACACCAGCAAAGAGATGCCGTCAAGACACCATGCGGAGATGGTATACATGAGCGAACTGCACACGAGAACGCAACAACACAGAGAATGGAGAAGCGGTGTACTGGCTGGTCTGATGGACTCACAACTCCTTGCGTGCTCACCATCATCCCGCAGCTGCTGCAGCCACTGGTGATCCCTGCGTTGCTGCAGCCACTGGTGGTGATCACTGCCCCTCGAGTGCTGGAGGTGAGGGGAGGAAGGAAGGCATGGAAGAGGAAGTAAGGCCTGAGCAAGAAGAGACAAGCGAGTGGATGAGAGGCCGAGCAGAAGCGAGTGGATGAGAGGCCGAGCAGAAGCGAGTGGATGAGATGGCAGACGAAGGCTGGAGAAGGGTCTGAGATAGAATGCCATGCATGGTGCATCTGAACTCCCGGTTACCTCTTGACTTGAAGAAACTTAACAGGAGAATCAAGGCGCCATTCCTCCTTGCTGCATGGTTTCCTATCGTCCATTCCCCATCCACTCCCTCCCCCTCCGTCTCGCAGGCCGTGAGGCACACACACGCATGAGGAGAGAGACAGCCACACAGAAGCGATGCAACAAGAGAGAGCTAGTAGAAGCAGGAGAGGAGGCGAGTGGTGGAGGCAAAAGCAACAGACACGACTCTTGCCTCTGCGCGGCGACGCCCTACGACTCACTTCACGGCCCCCCCTGCAAGCACCCCCTAACATGTACCACGCTCCGTCTGCCACCCTGCCGCTCTGCCTTCTCTTTCCTCGTGCTACTCCAAGCTGCTCTGTTGCTGCTGCGCCAAGCCTTCGCTCGAAGCAGCGCCGTGCCGCTGCCTGTGCTCCCGGTTGCTCCGTTGCTGCTGCTACTGCAGCCGTTGCTGCCGTCGCAACCACCGGTCGTTGCAGGGAGGAGGAGAGAACAGGCGAGGAGGGGCTAGGGAGCTGAGAAGAGTGGCATGATCATCTGACAGCACTGCTGCAAAGAGTTGTGGCATGTGGAAAGATGGTAGACAAGAGAGAACGGAAAACAGAGAGCAGGAAGATGGTGAAAATTGAAAAGTGAAGCGAGGAACTGCTTGACCTGATCCACTCACAACCTCTTGTGTGCTTGGCATCATCCTTTAGTCGCTGCAGCCTGCAGCCACTCGCTGCCCACTCGCCCACTCGCTACCTCCCTGTCCACTCGCTGCCTCCCCGTCCACTCGCTGCCTCCCCGTCCACTCGCTGCCTCCCCATCCGTCTCGCAGGACATGCATGGGGATAGAGAGACACACACAAAAGCAGCACAACAAGGGAGGGTTAGGAGCAGCAGGAGAGGAGGCAAGTGGTGGAGGCAAGGGCAACAGACATGACACTTGCCTCTGCGCGGCGACACTTCACGGCCCCCCTGCAAGCACCCCCTAGCACGTACCACTCCTGCACCAGGCCTTCACTCCAGGCGTGCTGCTCCAGGTTGCTCCCCTTTCTCCTCGCAGGACGGTTGTCTCTCGTGCAAGCCAGCAACGGCAGCGGAGTCGACTCCCGTCCGCCTCGCAGCCCATGAGGCACACACACGCACGGGGAGAGGGACACACACACACACACAGGCGGTGCAACAAGTGATGGTCAGAAGCAGCAGGAGACGAGTGGGCGGAGGCAAAGGCAAGCGACTCGGCTCTTGCCTCTGCGCGGCGACATGCTACGACTCTCTTCACTGCCCCTCCCCCCCAAGCACCACCTGGCACATACCACGCTCCAGCTATGTGTTTTTTCCTCCTTGGCAGAGCCTGCCGCTCCTTCGCCACGCCTTCACCCCCAAACAATACCCCGCTGCTGCCCGTGCTTCAGGCTTCAGGCGTGCTGCTCCAGGTTGCCCGTCGTTGCTACTGCTGCTACACGTGACCAGCGCTGCAATGCTGCTACACGTGACCAGCGCTGCAATGTTGCTGCTGTGCCTCCATCACTCCCTGCCATTCCCCGTCTCACAGGCCGTGAGGCACACAAGCGCAAAGGGAGAGACACACACAGAGAGAAGCGGTGCAACAACAGAGGTTTAGAAGCAGCAGGAGGCGAATGGTGGAGGAAACGCCAACAGATTCGACTCTTGCCTCTGTGCGGCGACGCCCTACGTCTTCACCCCCCCCCTGCAAGCACCCCCTGGCATGTACCACGCTCTGGGCCTTCATGTGACGCGTGATGCTCCTCGTGCCATCGAGCAACGGCAGCCCCGCCCATTCGTCCATTTCCCATCCACTCGCAGCCATTTCCGCCCGTCTTACGGGTGGTGAGGCCACACATGCACAGGGGAGAGGGACACAAACAGAAGCAGCGCAACAAGGGAGGGTCAGAAGCAGCAGGAGGCGAGTGGCAGAGGAAAAACCAACAGACATGACTCTTGCCTCTGCGCGGCCACGCCCTATGACTCTCTTCATCCCCCCACCACAAGCACTCCCTGGCACTTACCACACCCCGCCCGCCACTCTGCTGCTCCTGCGCCACGCTTTCACTTGAGGCATGTCTGCTGCTCCTGGTTGCTCGGTTGCTGCTGCAGCTGCAGTCATTGCTCTCGTCACGACCGCCACCATATGGCCGTTGACTTGGCAATGAGCCGTTGCTGCCCCTTCTCCTCGCTCAACGGCTGTCCCTCGTGCGAGCCTGCAACGTAAGCCCTGTCCACTCCACTCCATGCAATTCCGTGTCCATTCCATGCCATTCGCCTCCCTCTCACAAGCCGTAAGGTACACACACGCATGGGAAGAGAGCACGCACACAGAAAAGGCGCAACAAGGGAGAGTTAGAAGCAGGAGGAAGGAGACGAATGGTAAAGGCAAGGAAAACAGACGACTCTTGCCTCTGCGCGGCGACTCCCTACGAGACTTCACTGCCCCCCACAAGCACCCCCTGGCACGTACCATGCTCCGTCCACCACTCTCCCACTCATGTGCCCCGCCTTCACTTTAGGCGAGCCAGCAACGGCGACGCCCTGCGATACTTCAAGTCCCGTCCATTCCGCGCCCACTCCGCGCCATTCCGCGCCCACTCCTCGCCATTCCGCACCCACTCCGCGCTATTCCGCGCCCACTCCTCGCCATTCCGCGCCCACTCCGCGCCATTCCGCGCCCACTCCGCGCCATTCCGCGCCCACTCCTCGCCATTCCGCGCCCACTCAGCGCCATTCCGCGTCCACTCCGCGCCATTCCGCGCCCACTCCGCGCCATTCCGCGCCCACTCCTCGCCATTCCGCGCCCACTCCGCGCCATTCCGCGTCCACTCCGCGCCATTCCGCGCCCACTCCTCGCCATTCCGCGTCCACTTCGCACCATTCCGCGTCCACTCCGCGCCATTCCGCGTCCACTCCGCGCCATTCCGCACCCACTCCTCGCCATTCCGCGTCCACTCCGCGCCATTCCGCGTCCACTCCGCGCCATTCCGCGTCCACTCCACACCATTTCGCATGAGAGAGGCTCCCGCCGGGGAGACAGTCGTGGCGAGGCACCCGCAGGACCTCAAGCAGACGCAGTACCCCAAGGTTCAGCACCCCCAAACCCCACACCCTCAGACTCGCCACCCCCAGGCTTCGCACCCTCAGGCTCAGTACCCCCAGGCTCCGCACCCCCAGGCTCAGCACCCCCACGCTTAGCACCCCTAGACTCCGCACCCTCAGAATCAGCACCCCCAGGCTCCGCACTCGCAGGCTCAGCACCCCCAGATGCAGCACCCTTAGACGCAGCACTCCCAGACGCATCACCTCTAGCAGCACCTTGTAAGAATGATAGACGAAAGAATGAATGAACTAGGAATGAGATGGGTACAAGTAGGAAACACAAAAGTGTTGTACCCTCTAAGAACTACCCCACTACAGCCTAAATAGACTATAGCAGATATAAGTTTGACACACCCCCATAGGCAAAGTGGGGGAGAACAAGAGGTCACAAGACCAGTCAAGAAAAGCAAAGCAAGCTCAGGGTGGATCACAAAGTCACCACACAGTCTGAGCACAAGCAAAGGGCCATAAGGCCAGTTCATATGCTGAGTTATATAAAGGAAAGCAAACAGTACAGTGAACACAACCTAGCAAGTGTAAGCATGCAGGTATAAGTATATAGAGTACAGTACAAGCAGAGTCAAGAAGTCAACAAGTGAGGCACAGTAGGTACAAGGCCTAATACAGTACAGAAACGCTGATGATCACAAGGCTGAAGTGCCTTGGTGAAGACATCAGCAGTGTTGGCCTGAGAGGCCACGTAAGCAAGACGAAGCTGGCCACGCTGCTGCAACTCTCGAGCAAGGAAGTAGCGCAGAGCAATGTGCTTCGTTCTGTGCTCCAGTCTGTGCTCCTGACACAAGGCCAGCATGGCCTTGTTGTCGACGTACAGAACTGGAGGAGAACGAGGCGCCTCTCCCAAGTCTGTCAGCAGGTAGGTGAGCCAGCGAAGCTCCTGTACAGCCATGGCCCCAGCGTAGATCTCAGCCTCACAACTGGAGCCGAGAACTGAAGACGAGCGTGTAGAACGCCAGGAAACTGAACCAGAGCCAAGGCTGAAGGTGTAACCCTGTGACGACCGCTGCGTAGCCAAGTCGTCAACCCAGGAGGCGTCAGCGTGACCAGTGAGGACAACTCGAGCCCGTCCTCCAAGCACGAGCCCCATGCCCGATGTACTGCACAAGTATCGCAACACCCTCTTCGCAGCATCCCAGTGCACCTTTCGGTGCCTGCCGGGAGCCACGTAGCGAGCCAGAAGGCTGAGAGGGTATGCGAGGTCAGGTCGTGTGCAAGTCATCAGGTACATGAGGCAGCCCACAAGCTCTGGATACGGGCCACTCGGCTCTACGGACTCGTCCGAAGGTGGAGCTGAGAGCGAGTGACTGGTAGGCAGAGGAGTGGACTGTGGCGAGGAGTAGGTGAAGCCGAAGCGCTGAAGGACCTGCTGCACCATGTGTGACTGAGTCAAGGTAATGGTGCGCTGTGCTCTGTCCCGGGTGATCCGCAAGCCAAGATAGCTTGTGAGCTCACCCAGGTCTGTGCACGTGTGTCTCTTCTGCAGCTCGGACTTCACGTGGGCGAGTGCCTCCGTGTCAGCAGTAGCAAAGACAAGGTCGTCTACGTACACAAGAACGTAGAACGGCGGCAGAGTAGCGTCAGTGCGTAGAAACAGAGAAGGGTCAGCAGTGGAAGGAGCAAAACCAAGAGCAGCAAGAGTCGTCCTGAGCGTGTCGTGCCACTCACGGGGCGCCTGGCGGAGACCGTAGACTGGCCGCCGGAGGCTCCACTGGGTACCAGCAGGAAACGACCCAGTGAAGCCAGGTGGGCGGCGCAGCCAGATCTCCTCGTGCAGGCTGCCCTGTAGGAAGGATGTGCTGAAGTCAAGCGAGTGGAGCTCGTAGTCACGCTGAGCAGCAACGTGCAGCAGTACCCGAAGAGTGGTCATCTTCGGGGTAGGGGAGAAGGTCTGAAAGAAGTCAACTCCCTGTCGCTGACTGAAGCCACGTGCAACGTAACGCGCCTTGAAGGCAGGCGGAGAACCCGGCGGCCGCTTCACCCTGAAGATCCACATGCCACTGACGATGTTCGCCCCAGGTGGGGGAACCTCGTCTACGTAGGTGCCTGTGGACTTCCAGGAAGCCATCTCTGCGTCCATGGCTGCCTGCCACTGGGAGGAGTAGGGACCCTCTATCGCCTCTGCGTAAGAGCGCGGGGTCGGGATGTCTAGTGCATCCGGGTCTCCCTCAGGGGCAAGCAGCATGGACACGAGATGAGGTGAAGCAGCAGCAAAGCACTCAAGGTCCTCCTGCCTGTCCTCAAGGACGTCCGTGCCAAGAGCACACTCACCCCCGACGGACGGAGGACAGACAGACACAGACGCAGACTCAGCAACAAGACTAGCGGCGTAGTCTAGGCGACAGGCTGCAGCAAAGTCAACAAGCTCAGCAACAAGAGCAGACGCAGCAGAGAACTCAAACAGGGGGTCAGTGACAGCAGTGGCCAGAAAGCGCGTGACAGTAGGACTAGCAGCACGAAGGGAGTCAGACTCCGGGTCCGGACCGTCAGGAAGAGAGGACGCAGGAGGAGAGGGCAGAGGGACACGCTATGGAGCAGTGGAAGGACGCAGAGTCATAGAGTGAGTGCCAGGGACAGGAGGAAGACGCGGACGCGAAACACGACCAGCGCGAACAGAACGGACAGGCGACGTAGAACGAGACGCAGGCGACACAGGACGCGACTCAGGCTCACGACGCTCCGTAAGACCTCTAGTCGGACCAGAGTAAGGAGAAGGACCAGGCAGCGGAGAGGCCGGCTGTAACTGCGACTGAGACGGGACAGGCGGTGGACTCAGGGAAGGAGGAGGAGGACTAGGAGAAGGTGGGGAGCCAAGAACCTGCTGAAGAAGCGGAACGTAGTACGGCCGCGGCCGCGCAGCGCCTCGAGAAACAGCAGAGACAGAACCGGTACCCTCAGCCTCAGGGTCTCCAGTCCTAGCAGCACCTCCAGCAGCTCCAGCACCAGCAGCACCTCCTGTAGCTCCAGCACCAGCACCACCTCCAGCAGCACCAGCACCTCCAGCAGCTCCAGCAGCTCCAGCACCAGCACCACCTCCAGCAGTGCCAGCACCTCCAGTAGCTCCAGTAGCACCTCCAGCACCAGCAGCACCTCCAGCAGCTCCAGCACCAGCAGCACCTCCAGCAGCTCCAGCACCAGCACCACCTCCAGCAGCGCCAGCACCTCCAGCAGCACCCGCACCAGCAGCACCTCCAGCAGCAACCCGACAGCGCCGAGAGTACCACTCACGAAGCCGCTGTGGAGAGAGGGGCTCCCGCCACGACGGGACACCCAGAGCACCTCCAGACTCAACACGCGCAGGCTCAGCACCTCCAGACACAGTACCCTCAGGCGCCACACCCCCAGGCTCAGCACGCCCAGTCTCAGCACCCCCAGACTCAGCACCCCCAGTCTCAGCACCCCCAGTCCCCGCACCCGCAGGGTCAGCACCCCTAGCAGCACCTGAGTCGACAGCTACCTCGACCGGCTCGGCAGGGTCTACCTGGGACACACCTGAGGGGGCAGGACCCTGGGGGGGGAGGGGGTCTACCGGAGGAGTACCTGGGGCAAGGAAGAGCAGCGGGGGAGGGGGAGAGGCAGTGCGGTAGGGAAAGAGACGGTAGTACGACACCGACTCGTCAAACGTGACGTCCTGAGAGGACAGAACACGACGCGAGCTGGGGTGGTAGAACTGCCACCCGGGTGCGTCAGGAGGGAAGCCAAGGAAGACACAGGGAACGGCACGGGAGGACAGCTTGTCCGCTGTAGTATCGCGGACAAAAGCTCGAGATCCCCAGACACGGAACGCGGACGCATCGCCAACCTTCCCCGTCCACCGCAGAGTAGGTGTGGTCTCCGGCAAGGAGACACGAGGCTGAAGGTTGATCTGATGCGCAGCGTACTGAACCGCGAACGGCCACAGAAAGTGGGGAGCAGCCGCATGGATCATGGACGTACGAGCGACATCCATGACCATGCCAATGCGGCGCTCAGCAATCCCATTTTGCTGCGGGGAGGCCGGAAGCGTGAACGTCTGGCGGATGCCCTCCAAACGACAGAAGGCTCTCAGAAGGTCGGAGGAAAACTCCCCGCCTCTGTCTGAGTGCAAACGCAAAACAGGAAGGTCGGAGCCGAAACTCTCACTAAGCTGGCGACGAGCACCGCGGATCCAGACGATCAACACCTCAGTGACCTCACCCTTGCTGCGCAAGGGGAAGACTGTGGTGTAACGCGAGTAGTCGTCAACGACCAGCAGGAAGTAACGCTCGTGACCCTGTCCACGAACGCGGGCTGGGCCCCACACGTCCATGTGAAGAGTCTGCAGAGGGGCCTCAGTCGGAGGAAACGAGGAGGAGTGAGGAGCGGCGCGCTGCCGGCCCTCGACACAAGGAACACAGGTGGGGGCAGGCCCCGGAGGAAGGGGAGGGAGGGACCTGGGGAGTCCAGAGACAGGAGCACGGGAGGCCATACCTCGAAGACGAGGCAGGGAGGGGTGACCAAGGCGGTGGTGCCAGAGGAGAGTCTCGTGCGCCAGAGGACGACACGAGCAGGGGGCAGACGCAAGACTAGACCTGGACGCAGCAGCAAACACCTGACTGGACGCAGCTACCTGACCAGACGCAGGGACCGGAGGAGGCGCAGTAGTCAGTGTGTACAGACTCGACCCTGGCCGACGGGTGAACGTGGCCAGGTGGCGGCCCGTCCGAGAGCAAGTGCAGTGGGTCACACGCTGACCTCCAGGGGTGAACTGGTCAACCCACGCGTCCTGGAGGTCAGCTCCACTCACCAAGTTCGTAGAGAACGAGGGGAGGTGGAGTCCCGACAGCAAGCCCGACGGGGCCGCAGGACACGGTAGAACCGTGGAGGAGTGTGCAAGGACTGGTCCCCCGGAGGGGTCAGCAAGGGAGACCGCAACAGGCC